AAACTCTTTGTTCGCATACAAACTCTAATTTTCTTCCTTCTTACTCCAGAAATAATTGCAATTCTAGAGTGGTAGTATACGCCCATTCAAGATTTCTAATTTTACACTACACCTATGTATTATATAATGTATTATAATTTATTTATGTGATTCAAAATGTATCTTCAAGTAACTTCCTTTTTATCACACTATTTTTTTTTATTTATCCATGGGAATTCATTCATTTTACTGTTGTACAGAATTCGTCCAAAAAAAAAAAAATGGCACAATATTCTTATCCATTCTTCCACTGATTGACTATTTCTACGTTTTCTATATGATGATGAATGACTTCTCAAATACATGGGCTAGAGTTTCTCTAGGGTCTAATCTAGAAACAGAATTATTGGTGCAAAGGTGTAAGAATTTTCAGCTTTCCTTGAAAGTTTTTTTTGAATGGTATACTAATTTTTCTAATTTTTCCCACATTTGAAATAGTCATACTTTTACACATTCTAAGATGAAGAATATTAACCTAAATTTTGTTTTAATTTAGCTGAATATCTTTTCTTTTCACTACTGGCCATTTCAGATTCCTGTTCTATAACTTTTACCCAAACGTTTTGACCACTATTTGTTTCTAAAAATTGTGCCTTTTCCTTATTAGTGGGTAGGACTCTTAGGTACTCTATATATCACTCCTTTATGAATTATGTGTCTAGGAAATATCTCTGTCAACTCATGACTTTTCTTCCTCTTTTTCTTATGGAGTGCTTTTTGCACAATTGGTTTTTTTTTTAATGTAATCAAATTTTACAGTATTTTCTCCCATATTTTGTGTGTCTTGTATCTGGTTCTAAAAAAAAAATAAATAAATCAACCCTGACCTTTATATCCTAAATCTATTTTCTTCTAAATTTTGTATGTTTTCCTTTTCATTAATCCCTTAGTAATATTTTTTCTGTACCATTTTATATAAATGATTATTCAGTTGTCCCAGAACTCTTTATTCAGTTCATCCTTTTTCTGTCTATATTGAACCAATCATGTCTTTCACAGACTTCTCATAAATTTCCTGATGTACTGCTTGATCTTTTCTGAGCTCTCTAATCTGCTACATGTTATTTTCCAGTTCCTGTGCCATAACTACCTACAAGTATGAGTTACCAAAATAATTCACTCCAACACCTGAAAGGTTAATGTTTTCTTCTTAATATTTTTTCCCCAAATTGAGTTAACTCTCCTTGGCTCCTTATTATTCTACAACCATTTTAGAATCACATTAGTAAGTTCTATGTTTAAAACAAACGTTTTTGTTTGTTTGTTAAGAGAGATTTTTGCTATAAGGGCGTGAGTGCTCACCAGAGAGACAGAGAGTGAGAAATCCCTCGGGGGGGGGCGGGGGGGAGATGACCATGCTTCAATTCCTTCTCCATTCTTTTCTGGGGATTTTGGGTATGCACACACATGGACCTGGCGTGAGTTTTTAGGCCAGCAGGTCTGGGATTCGATCATGGTCAACTACATGGGAATCCAGCAATGTAACTATTATACCATCTGCTGGTCAAAAAGCTGCTATATTTTGATTGGACTTCATCAAACCATAGATTAATTAGGAGGAGTTGATATTTTTACCATTTTTTTAAATCACCAATGCTTATCTTTAACTTTGTTTATCTATAAGTAAAATTTTATATTTTATAACAATCTTTAACCTCTTCTGTATCCATAAGTAAAATTTTATAATATTTGATAACAACTTTTGATCTCTTCTGTAAGAATTATTCTAGATACCCTAAAATTTCTGTGACTTTTATGAACAGGAATTTCTTAAGTTGTATATTGTTACTTAAACATAGGAACAGTATGCTTATTTATTTTTAATGATTTTTTTGAGAGGTTTTTGCTATAGAGCACATGCACTTTCCAGAAAGACACTGGGGGGATGGCCACACCACAATCCCTTCTCCTCCATTCTCCTCTTGGGATCTTGGGCACGCACACACATTCGGCCAGCCTGAGTCTAAGTCACTGGTTCCAGGACTCGAACTGTGGTCAACTACATGGGAGTCAAGCGACTTAGCCATTACACCACCTGCTGGTCCTAGTATTTTTAATAATTTATATCCAACCAACCTTTGAAAATTCTTAGTTTATCTACTGATTCCCTTGGATTTTCTCCATAGATAACTATATTTTCTATAAATTAATTTTATTTTGCTCTTTCTTTTCCATTTCATTCTTCCCAGAGAGAGAAAAAGAAATAGACAAACAATTCTAACAGAATCTTCACACAGTGATCCACCACCAGTTTCCACAGGCCCATATCATAGACAGACATGTGCATGTCTAACATGTTCGGGGAAGTCTTAGGTTGAGAACCTAGGGCCTGTCCTATGTTGGCTCAGTTATTGGGTTTTCAGAAAAGTCATGACATATTTTTCTATGTAAAAACAGCATGTCTTTTCTGACAACCCAATACTTTATCACTGTGCCATCACCTGGCCTCCTCCAATGAGTATTTTTTTTAAGTTTTTATGGTGCTTTTTTCAAAAACTAGTACAATATTTCAAGTGTTTTTGTACATGAGGTGTTTCTTCCTTCAGTGGATCTGTGACTACACCTCCTATACCAAAGGAGCATTAATAACACAGACTTCAGCCCTTAGGGCCTAGTTTCTGGTTGTAAACCCAAGGAGCAGCATCAGTTATGGTTTACAATTCCTATTATGAGCTTTTCTTTTGTTTGTCATACCTCAATATTCCCATTTCTTTCCTTTAGGTTTGGATGGATGGAGGGATAGATAGATAGATAGATACAGAGTTTTACATATAGTTATATATTTTTAACTCTTCCAATTTATCTAAAATTTCTATGTATTTTAATAATAACAGGACCTAGCAACATGAGTTTAGTATGCCAGTTTGCCAAACGCCCTCTTCTGAAATCTATACTTCCATTCTATGTAAGTTAACCACGGTCTCTGAGTTATCTACCTTAACTAAACCCTTTGAAACCTCAGATATTATTATTCTGTGTGAAGATGAGAAAGGGCATTTCAAGGTAGGAAACAAAATTTCTTTATGTGCATAGATGACAGAATGCATCATATTTGGAGAAAATATCATTAAACTTGCATCCCTATTGCCTATCATACAAGTCACATATACTATAGGACTATGAATCAATAAGTTTGTAATCAGCTTTTCTTGAGTTGAATGTAGGTTTACACTAGGTTAACATGTACACTCTAGGATTTGTTGACTAAATTAGTTATAGATTTAATTAACTAGAAGGTGTAAATCTCTAGAAAAATCACTGACCTACTGAGGATGTCATGGACTACAATAACAAATGCATCATAAAATGTCCAATGGTTTAAACAAATAAAAGGGTTTTCCTCTATATATAAAAGACACAGTGAGTCACCCCCCCCCTTGGTAGTAGGTGGTGCTCCTGAATTTAGGGAAACAGGGACACAGGCTCATTTCACTGTGTTACTCTCTCATTCCATTAAGCCTCTCTTTCATCTGCATTCGGTTAACACAGAGGAAAGAGTTTGTAGAGAAGCCCAGAACTGGAACCCATGGGTGAGTTGTAGAACTTGGTAACATGTCCACACATCACTGCAATGAGAGATGGGGAATGTAGCCTGAGTGCCCAAGAAGAAGACAATAGGGACTTGGCTGATAATATGGCCTCGAAATGCAAGACACATCAAAGAAAGAGGAACCTGTAGTAAAGCAGGGAAGGGATCATCATAATATTTCATGCAGAAAATGATGATGTCTTGAGCTAAATCACTGACAGTAAGTAAATAAGAATGTTAAGTGTTTTAAAATGATTTTAAATAAAGATTCAACAAAGTTAGATGTACAGGTGAAAAAGAAAAACTAGATGGGAGTGCTGGTGGGCATCCCACATGGAGAGAACGCAAGAATTAAATCTAGGCTTAACTCAAGGAAAGCTGATTACAAACTTATTGAAGCATAAAATAAACCATATTCTGCAATAAATTCTCTACAGGAGATAAAAATAAACAAGATATCATTTTCCTCTTTAAAACACTTTTCATACTACTTAGTTTGTATGAGCAGAGTACAGAGTTTGGTCAGACATGCCGGCATAGAAATACAGAAGGAAAAGATCAAGTTTACTAAGCAGAGGTTGAATCTACTATGAATTTGGATGTATCACCAAAAGAAATTATGATATAAAAGGAAGAGAAGATGCATGAGAAAAACTTGGTGATTATGAATATATATAAAAATATGTAAGTGTCTGGGAAAGAGATAAAATTTATCAAAGTAATAGAGAATATCTACTTTCAAAAGGGAACACTGGAAAACAAATGTGCTAAATGTGCTTTCCTAGGACACAAACCAGTGGTCTTCCTGGTTTACAATCATCTGATGCCAATGTAGACACTTACTTTCTGGGCCTGGGGATCATACTAAATTTGATTGAAGGGACAAATTCTAATTGTCCAGGGCATTCTCTCTACTGACACATCCTTTTCATTGGAATGTTTTTCACAAAAATTCCAAATGCTATTTTCCTTATCATGTAAAATAAAATTAGTTTGGGTTTCTGTCTTTCCCATTAAGGTCTGAAGTTGTTTAGAACAGAGATTATGTCTCTTATGTTAAACAAATAAATAAACTACATTTCCATATATTTATCCTTTTCCAAGAGGTCTAAGAAAGTATCTAGAACAAAACATGAATAATTAAGTATTTGTTTTATGACTAAATTGCAGATATTTGGGTGGTGGTGGTCAAACTGGAAGAATGGGCACCTCTGATAAAAATATTGCTCACTGCTACATATGAATGTTCAGGAGTAAATAAAAATTAGTCTCACTGACCAAGAAAGATTTTATGCCAAAATATTAACTAGCTATGGATTTATTAAATTATTTATAGACATAGCTAAGCAAAACTGTTGAATAAGAAAGGTCACTGCATGCAATAAATGTGCTAATAATTCTGGATTCCTCTCCCTTTGAAGCTGAAGTGGCCATGAAGAAAGACAATGAATCCACTATCCCAGATTTCATCCTCCTGGGAGTTACTGGTCAGAAAGAACATGATAATGTTTTATTCATCCTCTTCCTGTTCATTTACCCCATCACATTGACTGGAAACCTGCTCATCATCTTGGCCATTCACTCAGACAGTCGCCTTCATAATCCCATGTATTTTTTCCTTGCCAACCTCTCCTTTGTTGACATCTTCTTTTCATCTGTAACTATCCCTAAGACATTGATCAACCACATCTTAAGCAGCAAAGCCATCTCCTTTGTGGGATGCCTGACACAGATGTATTTTATGATTGCCTTGGCTAATGCAGACAGCTATACATTGGCTGCAATGGCATACGACCGAGCTGTGGCCATCAGCCGCCCGCTTCATTACACAACAATTATAAGCCCACGGTTTTGTGTCCTACTGGTTGTTGGGTCTTGGGTAGTTGGAAATGCCAATGCCCTGCCCCATACTCTCCTTACAGGTAGTCTGTCCTTCTGTGGCAACACTGATGTGGCAAACTTTTACTGTGACATTATGCCTTTGCTCAAGTTATCCTGTTCTGACATCCGTTTTAATGTAAAGATTATGTACATAGGGGTTGGTGTTTTCTCTGTGCCATTACTATGCATCATTATCTCCTATGTTCAGGTCTTTTCCACAGTCCTAAGGATTCCATCTACTAAGGGTGTGCTTAAAGCGCTCTCCACTTGTGGTTCTCACCTCACAGTTGTTTCTTTGTATTATGGTACAATGATGGGCATGTACTTCCGCCCTCTGACCAGTTACAGCCTGAAGGATGCAGTGTTAACTGTGATGTACATGGCAGTGACCCCAATGTTAAATCCTTTCATCTACAGTCTGAGAAACCGGGACATGAAGGCTGCCCTACGGAAACTCTTCAGCAAGAGAATCTCCATATGACCACTGTGAGCTCATACATTATGTACTGTAGTCACCAATTAGAAAGCACTTGAAAACCCAGCCCCAATGTCATTACCTTACAAGGTGCTGCCTTTGGTATTTCCAGCCAGAAGATTATCATGCAGAAATGTTGTAACAGTTTATGAGATATCTTATTGAAATTATTGCTTTTAACGTATTTCTGGTCCTTATGACAGAATGACAGCACCAAAAAAAAAAAAAAATTAGGTTCATTTCCTAGCTATTCTACTGACCAGCTGAGAAAGTCTGAATTTTGGGTTCCACATCTACCCATTAGGAGAAATAATACCTGGGTCAGTTGCTTTGGCCTAGCAGTAACACAAAGCTTTCCCATATGCTGAAGCCATATGGGAAAGTACCAGGTTCATGTCCTGATGACTCCCTGTACAAGCCAAGTGAGCCTGCTTTATACCATAGCTGGTTGAGGCTGGAGGTGGGTTGTGGCTTGAAAGCCTTGTTGAAGGTGTCTCTGTCTCTCCCTCTCTTTCTCAATAACTAAATAAACTTTTTAAAATTATAACAATAATGCATCTGTCATAGCATGTGTTGCTCACAATAGCTCAAATCACCACTCAAATGTAAATTTTAATTGAAGTATTATGTTTAGTCACCTTATACTACTTGTGAGTCAGTGATGGAAAAACATATGTTAACACATCACATACCTTCACTATCTTGCTCATGTAAAATAAATGCTACTGGGAAGCAGAATAAATGTATAAAAATATGCATCTCTTAAAATCTGATAATAACTAGACATAATCATAATGGAAGTTACTGATCTATAATTATAGAGCTGGTATATCAGAGTCAGTAAAGGTCCACTCCAAAAAGAGAAATCACACACAGTGTATTTAACCAAGAAGACTTAATATAGAAAATTAGCTATATAGGTAAATCCTGAAAGAGATCAAAGGAGATAAAAGATATATTCTGAGGTAAACCAGACACTATTAACTGTAGGAGAGAGTTAGGACTAGGAATATGAAAGGAGAAAGATGGTGTTACAAGAACCTAGGATCTTAGAGGTGAGGTGAGTTCCAAGCACCAAATTTTTATTCCCAGGGGATTTTAATCCTCAGTAGTACTGCTTAGTTTTTTATTAATTTCTTTAAAAATATTCCACTTACAAAAATCAAATATATTCTCTTGGTGGTGGTGCCAGTGGTGCAGCTTCTATGCACCTTCGCTATCAGTCAGAAAATACTGAAAGATAGCCCACACATAACTTCAGACATACCTTTCTTTGCTTCCCATTGTATACTAGCTACACAATGTTTCTGGTAACTGTAATCACTCTATCCAGTAGAGAAATCTTCTGAATACCCAACAGAAACCTGTTACAATCTGCTTGAATTTGAGTCCACATGGTATTAAGTTTAAAAATGTAAATCTCCAAAAATTATCAATATCCTTTCAATATGTTATAAACAACTAAAACAAAAAAACTCCACTTTTCAGTAATGCACATAAATGCCATAAATGTTCACTCAAAACAAAAGCAAAGGAAATGATGAGCACTGGATTCAGGATGAAGAGAAATTCAAAAGGGGAGACCAAGAGAATGAAAATAACAGTAGTATGTGGTCAGGTATAGGTTATTTCTAAAGTCTTAATTTTCAGGTGGGATGATGGCTCACTGATTATTCCTGATATGTAGATAGATGATAGAAAGAATGAATAAAAGCACTATATGATGAAATGATGGTGAAAGAAAGTTTACTCTTGTTTTTATTAGAGTATACATGCTTACCAAAGAGAGAGGGAGAAAGCATCCTACAATGGAGGATGGTCACAACACTATCATTTCTCCTTCCCATCAGGATTTGGGCACACACAGCGAAGACACAGACAAAGGATCAAGATGGAAAGGAAATTTAGAAATAGATGAAATGTAGTAATTTTTATAATAGTAGTAAGTAAGGACATGTCTGTAAGTTGTTAAAGTTCAATCACTGAAAGGAAAAAGAATGTTATTAGTAAAAATAGTGAAAAAAATAGTAATTTAGTAAAAATAGAGGGACAGCCCTGTAGCTTAGTGGTAAAGGGGAGCTGATAGTTAAGTTCACACCTATATGGCTCCCTTAACCACATTGCCAACCAAGTGGGATCAAATCCCAGACTCAACAACATCTTGAAAAACACACTGGCAAAAAAAAAAGAAAAGAAAAGAAAAGAAAAACACACTGGCTACATGATCCTTACAGGATCGAGAAATAGAAAAGGGATTGCAGGATAATTATGCCCCCATGGGGAGTTGATTTCTCCCTTCCTCCCCCCCCTCTCTCTATGCATATGTATATGTATGTCTGTCTCTGGTGAGTGTGCATACCTTCCAGAAATTAAAAGAAAAAAAATTTTCAGGAAAAACTAGAATTGAGAACATGGCAGAGAAAGAAATCCTGGGTCCCCTCCCCCCCAAAAAAATCCAATTCTAAAACAACAGACAAATTTCCCATGAGAGAAATTCAAAAAGTAATTGAAATTTTCCCACACCCCAGATGAACATAAGACCAGCCTTACCAAATCCAGCAGAGAGACTTGACACCAGATTCTCTACCCCAGCACAGTACCATGTCATCAGGAAGAAACTCCCTAAGTCTCAGCTACCACCAGGGGAGTAAAAGAATTGCTTCAATGTCATGTGACTCTGCTTGTCCAGGGGGACTCCCAAAGAACTGACTTCTGCCTTACCACTCATTGAAATTTGACAGAACAAGTATAGTCTAGTTACCTAGAGAAAAAAATGGAGACTTGGCTTAAGCAATAGAGACGTGGCTTAAGAAATACCATAACTCGTTCCCCCTGCTTAACATGAAGCAAATGAATAAAATATCCCAGCTTTCATTCTCCCCCTGGGGAAAGGAGTTGATCAAAGCAGTAAATGCATCCACTTTACTGGGATGCCCAAAGAACTGGCATCTGACTTGCCAGTCTTGAAGCTCTATGAGTTCTGCACAGTTTGGCCACCTAGGGTGAGAAAAGAGGTGGCACTTTGGATGAGAAGACAAGTGGATCCTCTCCTAGGCACAGAGTGAACAGATGATAAAAACCATAGCTACTTGCTTCTCCCTCAGGTAAACAGTGTATAAAGTAAAACTTTTCACTAGAAGAGTTCAACAGCAGACTAGATTAGGCAGAAGAATTAGTGAATTCAAAGATCACTGGCAATAACTCAGTAAGAAGGGAGGAAAAAGAATAAAAAGGAGTAAATAAAACTTTAGGGAGCAATGGGACAACTTCAAGTAGAAAAATATGTGCATTATAGTGTCTACAAAGGAACAGAAAAAAACAGCTATTTAAAGAAACAATCTCCTGACTGCCATTCCCCATCACTGGTCCTATCTCAGCAGAAGAGACATCAGGAAGACATCAGGAAGCAACCAAAACAATCTTTGGCCCATTCCCCTAAGGGCAGTTAGGGGTACTTCTTCAGAGGGGGGATTGAGATAGAAGTTAGACTTCATTCACAAGTATTTAGGCCAGGGCCCTCCCTTCTCCAGAGGAGAGCCACTGTGCTGGGTGGCTCCTAAGAATTCTTCTCTTCTCCAGTTGCCATATTCCTTTGTCCTTAGACAGGTAGATCTTCTTCTTAAAGAATTCACAGTCCCTTTCAATGGGACTTAATTAGTCCAGTCACCATATTCCATTGCCCTTAGACATGTAAATCTTTTTTTTGTTTTGATGTTTTGAGAGAGGTTCCTGTAAATCTTGTTATTTGAGACAAAGGATCTCTTGACCTAGTACCCACTTTAAAAATTAGGAGAATAGGGAACCAGCAGTTAGCATAATGGCTATGTCGCAGGACTCCCATGTAGTCGACTGGCAGTCCATATAACAACTAGCAATTACGAGTATATTCAACAGTACACAGTACAAAATGGTGAGATATGGTTCTAGCAACTGTCCCCCCACAGAAATATCAATGAACACCTATTGACCCCCAGCCCCCCCAAAATAAACCCTCACAGATGCTAAGAAAACAAGGTGAGAGGTCACAATACCTAGGTGTCACACAGAAATTAAAAAGACACATTGAACAGTATAGGGGGAAAGTTTTACATTACTTGCATCACCACTCTCCCAACCCCAAGCAACAGAGTATACAACAAGATATCATCCAAATAGGGGAAAGAGGGAGTGAGCAAAGAATTTTGCCTTGAGCCACAACACTGAATATGCCACAATAAACCTAGTACATTTTAGGACCACATGGCCCCAGACTCCATGATGACTGGGCCTCCAGACCCATCCTGACACCAGAATAAAACCTATAGCCACAGGCTTCGTGCCTACACAGTAGACTCAATTTCCAAACTACCCCTGCCAGTTGACTTCAGCAGCCCCAGAATCTGAACAAATCTAGTATCCCCAGGCTTCAGGCCTGATCCAGTGCCATAATGGTTGCAGTAGCCTGAACTTTGGAACCAATTCAGCACCACATTAGCCCCAGTGGTATTGGCTTCAGGCATACTCCAACATTGTGCCACACTCAGCAGACAAAGGCTTTAGGCCCACGCCTATAAACCTAATCAAGATCAAGGCTGTAGGTAAGACTATCTACTGACCTAAGCTCCATGTCAATCAGCCCTTGGAATCCAGTAGCAAACTCATCCATGAATCATACCAGAATGCCTATCCCAAATCTCTGGATGAGCTGACTGCTGGAGGGCTTTCACAGACAAAACCATTCTGTGAGAACTAGAATAAGTACGTACTTAAATTGTATATACCCCAGTGCATAGCCATAAGGATCAAGAACAATTAGGGGGACCAGCAGTTAGCATAGTGGCTATGTCGCTGGATTCCCATGTAGTTGACAGCAGTTTGAGTCCCGGACCGGGTGGCTTAAACTCACACTGGGCACGTGTGCGTGCGTGCCCAAGAGGAGATTAGCGGAGAAGGGATTGTGGCATGGCCATCCCCCCTGGGGGGTGATTTCTCATTTTCTGTCTCTCTGTCTCTCTCTGTCTTCCTGG